CAGATGCTTCAAGTATGCTTAGAGGTAGAGCGCATAGTTCTATAGAAAAGGAAAGAAGAACTAAAAGATATCGGAACAATTTTACATTTCGCATCATTAGGGAATAACTTATAGTCGAGCACACATAAAGCCTCAACAGTTTGGTAATCTATCATATAAATAGACATATAGCCAAAGTGGCGGCCCTTAAATGTAAAAGGATATCTATGAGTCGGGCACACATCAAATGCCTGTAAGTAGAGTTGCCTACTTTAGAGCGCATTGATGCTTTGGGAGATAATAAACCTAAAAAAGAAATCGACATAGAATATTCGGTACGTGTTGCAAGGACTAATCGAAAGGACGTCTCACTTGCGCTTTCATTTGCAACGGCACAAAAACAGCTGCTGAGCGGCGATGGCGACGGCGACAGCGACGTCGACTGCAAACCTGCATTCATGTCAGACGCAGGCGCTGCTGCGTTCATCAAATGCAGCTGCAGCAGCAACGATAGCACCAGCTGCAGCTGCCACTGCAGACCTAACGGTAAATCACGAAAACTTTTATTTGACTGTTTAGTGAAATGCTAAGCACGACATCAGCTCACGACGCCGACGCCAATCAATAAAATGCTAAAGCAGCGCCAACGCGTGTCCCACAGCTTTTGAGCGTAAAACGTAAAAGCTTTTCGCCTGTGCGCTGGCAACGGAGCCAAAAGTTGTAAAGCTTCAGCCGAGTGACAAAATGCCGAAAGCCGAGTACCGAATACCGAATGCCGACTGACCCGAGTGCCGAGAGTGCGCGCGACGTCACACACAGTGAAAGCACACGAATGCAGCCAACCACATGACGCCTCAACTGTATTGTTGTTCTTTTTTCACTGCGTTTGAGCTAAACCGAAGCTGAGCCGAATTTGATAGCTCAAACGAAGCTTTGCCACTGCTACTGCTGCTGCTGCGACTGCGGCTGCTGCTGCCAAATTGTCTCAATGGTCGCTGGCCTCGTGGTCGCGAAAGCTTTGCAAGCGCCTTTAGTTGTATACGCAACGTTTCAGCTAACAAAACACGAGACACGGAACGAAGTGTAGAAAGAAAAGCAAAAGAAAAGCAAATAGAAAAGAATACAAAAAGCGCGACGCGTACGGAAATTGTGACAAAAAAAAATAATAATTGAGAATTAAAAAGAAATTAATCTATATATATCTACAAAATATATATATACACACATATATATATTATTATAAATGAAAAGTGCAAACGCTTAAAGAGCGCGAATCATTGAGCAAAAAATAAAAAATAAAAAGAAAGAAAGAGAAAGCAAGAGCAGCAGCAAGAAAAATCCTTCAAAAGGATGTAAAGCATTTCAAATTGTGCCTTTAGCCTGTATATATTAAAACTAAAACTGTGCGTGTAAGAAATAAATAAAAAATAAATAACAAGTAAATAAAAATATATATTTAAATAAATATAAATAATAATAAATAGCAGAGCAAAAGTGCATTTGCCAAAGCAAAGCCAGCCTCTGCAAAAAATCAATAAAATTTTGCCAAAAAAAAAAAAGAAGGAAATCTGCGACAGCAGCAGCAGCAACATTAACTAGCAACAACAACAACAACAACGAAAAACAAACCAAGCAGCAGCAGCAGTACCAACTTTTTTTCTTATAGCCTACGCTGACATCGCAGTCAACGTCAACGTCAACGTCAGCGTCAACGTCGTCGTCGCCCAACGTCTTGTACTGTATTTTTATAATATATACACACACACATGCGAAAGTGCCTGTTTATGCGTGTGTGCCTGTGTGTGTGTGTGTGAGCAGCAAATTTACATTAAGCAGACAGCTAAGAAGCAGGAAACAGCGTCTGGCAGACAACAACAATAACAAGAACAACAACAACAGCGGCAGCAAGAGGGGCAAAGACAACCGACAGCAGTAACTAGGAAGTCACAGCTAGCGGTTTATTATTGTATTACTAAAACATACACACACACGCGCACACTCACACACACATATATATAACTTGGAAGCCAACTCAAATTACATAAATAGCAATAAGGCCTCAAGCCGCGGCCGACTCAGTACAACGAACTGCAGCTGCAGCACAGTTTTGCATAGCAGCAGCAGCAGCAGCAGCAGCAACAGCCACAACAGCAGCAGCAGCAGCAGCAGCAACAACAACGAAACTCATAGCAACAACAATTGCAACATTTTAAAGTTCAGGCATTTAGCAACAGCAACACAGCGCAAAGCCACAAACCTATGGACAATGCCTATGTCTACTATAAGGTATTGTAGTTGGCTGCAACAACAGCAACAATCGTAACAGCAATAATCGCAACAGCAACAACAATACCAACAACAATCAAAATGCGCTCAGTCAGTCAATCAATCAATCAATTCATCAATCCATCAATCGACATCAAATCAAAGCGACAACAAATCAAAACAAAACTAAATGTCAGCCACATCAATCCAACAATCAAGCACGCATACATACATGCAAATACACATGGCACACACACACACACACACACACACCTATACCTACAACTACTACAGTTCATTCAGTTCATCAAACCGGTTTTCTCATTACATCATTACAAATCAAATCAAGCAAAGTGAACTTCTTATCAAAGTCCATCAACAACTGGCAACTGCAAAATGTACCCCAACAACCAATACACAAATACACTCACCAACTCTAGCTCTATCACTGTCCCCCACTAAACATAATACTCTCTAAACTACGCATAGTTGCCCCTGCCCTGCCCTGCCCTATCTATTAATTGCCCTTCAATCAAATAACAAAAAAAAAAGCAAGCGCAGCGACGCCTGCATAATATATGCGACACGTGAAAAGAGAGCGGAAGAATGCTAGAGTGGTAGAGAGAGAGAGAGAGAGGACGATGCGCGTAACGGTTGGGCAGGCAACTGCAACCCTTTGGGAAGCACAGCGGCCTTGATAGACTAAAAGATGCCCTCTTTAACAACAAAACTCTATTATATATATATATATATTTTTTTATTTTTAAATCTTATCAGTTTATCTATACATATATATATTATTTATATATATTATATATATATTTTATACACCTTTTTAGCCTTCTTTGAGACGACAGCAGCTTATCAGACACATTTACATATATTTCAGTTTCTTTGCCTCTTAAGAGGCTGCATTCCTTAGCCTAGCCTACCCCTTCAATAGCACTTCAAGTGTAGGGTATGCATTTTCCTATTGAGTATATATGGTATATATTGATATATTTATACGTTTTCAACTTTGACCTTTCAACTGCCCAATAGACACCTTCAATAGCACTTTTAGTGCAGAGCAAAAGCTGAATCGGAATTTTGAGGATATACGGCTTCCTATCAAACACATACATATGTATTTACATGTTCTATATACACTATAGATGCTTAAGAACTTGCATTTAATCTTTTAAATATACCCCTTTAAGTAAACTATTACTATAGGGTATCAACAGCAGCGGATTGCTTTGGACTTGCCTTAAAGGCTCTTATTTATGAGCATAGTATTTTTTATTTTTTTTATGCAATGCACGCAATTACGCCACAGCAAAAGAAGACATAGAGGGGGTCTTTAGTGAGGGCTGTAAGAAGTGCAAGCATTAAAGTTAGTTTTTGCTTGTTGGCCATAAATTGTGTTTCAATTTGTGGCCAGTGGAAAAAACCTTTAGAAACCATAGCATACTTTTATGCTAATCGAGTCGTAAAACGATAAAGCAGCCAAGCGCCTGCCTGCCAGTGTGTGAGTGTGTGTGTGTGTGGGCGAGCGTATGCAGCCCACTCACATACTAACTGTTAGCTGTGTGTGGGTTTTGCCTTTTAAAGGTCAGCATGCGTAATTAGTGAAATTTGGCATCGAGGCTTAACAAATGAAGGAAAGAACATATAAACGAATGAGCTCAAGTGCATGCTCACCAGGCACACACACACACACACACACCAATAGGGAGCGTATATGTGTGTCTGTGTGTGTTTTTGTGTCTATTCAAAATGAGGAACGTGCAGACATGCACAACGCTCAGCACAATGCAAGTCGTCCGTGACGTACGACCATCCGCTCATTAGCAAAAAGCCAAAACCCCTCCTCAATTGTTCTAAATGCGACAGACACAACTGAATGGATGAAAGTATGTGTGTGTGTCTGTTGGGGTGTGTGGGTGTGCAGGGGTGTGTGTATGCCTTGGTGTGTTTCTGAAAATAAGCTTGCAGTGCAAGATGACACCTTGATACCCAGTATAACTAGTTAACTGCAATTCAGAGATAAAGTGTTTAAAATCAAAGTAAACTTGCTTTTTTACGAGGAGCTTGAGCTGGCTATAGAAAGAAAGAGAGAGAGAAAGAAAGACAGAGATAGAGGCAGATCTCTAGTTAAATAAGCTTTTGAGTTGATGAATAGAGATCAATTTCTCAAGCCAATCCAACCTTCAAGCCTAATTATCTCTGCATAAATTTAAAAATTACCTCCTGGTAAAAAAAAAAGGTTACCAAATCTATTAAATCTGATTATCTCTCTCTTCAGTCTTGAGCTTTAGCTCTCAGCTTTCAACGGCAGCCCAAATAAGTAGGCAATGCAAATTTATAGTTTGTATAAGCTAAAGAGGAACAGTTGATTTTGAAGACTTCTGAGGCTGGTTAAAAATGATAAATCTAAGTTCAAACTTAAATTCACTCAACAGGATATATACTTCTTTCTTCTTCTGATTAAATCAATTCTTAATCTGAGCAATTTTGTAGTTCTTCGCTGAATAGCAGATTAAAGATCTATAGAACAAAGCAACTCTTGAAATTCGTCATCTCAAATTTTACAATAGTCAAATAAGAAATTTTGTACAAGATGAAGCAAACTTGATTTTTCACAGGGTATATTTGCAGTAGCATCAAGGTGCTGCGGCTTTTGCATGCCAGCACACCAAATGTGCTCTGCACTTCATAAACAACACTTGAAATACTTTCATGTCGGGCCAGAACACTCACACTCACACACACACACACACAGACAAAGCCAACTGCAATCGCACGTGCGTGAGATGCGACAATTGAGAGAATCTGACATTAGGGTATAGGGTATACAGTATATGGCATTTGTCAAGAGAGAGTGAGAGTGGAGAGTGAAAAGTAGAGAGTGGGGATACCAAAGCTCAAATGAGATTTCGTCTGGCCTTGTCAACGCGCTCGAAACGTGATTATTTTGTGTTAATTGCAAAAAAAAATAAAATAAAATAAAGGGAGCTCGAGTATATACATTTGGTGCTTGCCAAATGACATGGGCGTGGCCAATAGGGCGGCAGTCATAAAAAGCGTCTGGTTGAGCCATGTTTTACAATCTCATTTTATGTGTTTATTTTTAATTTTCATGATTTGAGCCAAACACGCAGCAAATGAAAATAGCAAAACTCGGAGGGACACACACACACACACCAGCACCAACACTAACGCACACATATATATACACTACTACATGTGTACTTTTGCACTTAACACACTTATTGTTTGGCATTTCTCTCTTTCTTGCCTTTAGCTACTTCGCTTATTTTCGTTTTGTTTTCTTCTTCTTTTTCATTTGCTTTGCCATTTTTTTCTGCTTTGTCTTTGTGTTTCATTTCATTTGTATTCAAGCTGCGCCCCCTTGTCTGGCCGCAGAGGGTATGCCAATTCTCTCTCTCTCTCAGTCTCTCTCTCACTCTCTCTCTCTCTCTCTTTGTCCCTCTCGCGCTTTAGCCAACATCCCCCTTGAGCCTTAACAGTGAGACTTCGTTATTGTGTTCTCTGTATACACACACACACATAGCGAGAGAGACGCCCACAAACAACACTTACTGTTAAGCACACATACACACATAGCGACACACATGACGTATACATAATAACCTTGTAACCAAAAATGTTGTTATTTCGGGCTGCATGTGTATAAGTGTGTGTGTGTGTGTGCGACGGCTTTTTATTTTCCTCTGTGTATATGTGTGGGTTCTTGGGATTATTTGAAGTGTGCAAGTCACTTTACTTGCTCACCTGTTCTATCTGCCCACCTGCCTACCACTCTCTCTCTCTCACTCTCTCTCTATCTCTCTCCCACTTATGCTGTATGTGTGGGCTGGCATAATTTCTAAATTTATACTTTAAACTCGCAATTCCAAAACGTGCCTTTAGTAATACCTAAAATACCCACACAGACACCTACACACAACTATATATATATATTCTTACAACAAATTATTTTCTAAGTGTTGGTGTTTATTGTCGTGTGTTTCAAATTAAATGTTATACATATATATACATACATATATATATATACCTATGTATATGTATATGTTATTCGTTCATTTTATATTGCATATATACAAGATAATTCACAAGTTTTATGATCTCCCATGCAAAATTCATTTAATTTCATATTTCAAGTTCAGTTTAAAGTGAGACTCTTCCATTTGTATACAAATTTTATGTGTAGTTTTTATTGAATTACTAGATCTGAGTAAATACGAAATTGCTTTCAAGTATTTCATATAACATTTTATCTATTAAAGTGTATTTTTATATAGTTACATATGATTGAGATAAAGTATATAATGTCAAACATCATAATATCGTACTGTAGCTATATTCTAGCGGTTTACTCTTATATCACATAAATCGTGTATATATTATGAGAGTATGTTATTCGAATACTTAGAAGAAGAAGACACTATATTTGTCTAAAGTTTCAATTTAAGTTTTCTATCCATCCAATGAAGAAGCTCTCTAGTTAGGGAAAAGGTGCTAACACTTTTAACGTAAAAAGAAAACAAACCAGAGCAAAGAAATTCAGAGTTGACTGGACTTTAAAATTAACGAATCTGTAATTTTAATACATTACTAAAAAAAATCTGCACATACAAATTTGGTTATACAATTTGACAAGTCTATTGCCTTAAAAATGCTTTTCGGAAAACACCTAATTGCATCACGCTTTCTTTTTATTTACTTCAAACTTTTCTTCAGTTTCTTTAACTAATTGTAGAGCTATAAATAAAAACAAATTTCAATACAGTTTGCAACCTTTTTTCAATTTGTAAGTAGCATTTTATGGAACGTTTTTTGAATTTCTTTTCTTGCTGTTTAATCCTTAACCAAAAGTAACATATATATACATATTTATATATATTAATATACAAATCATATATAATATATATACATATATATATCTTAACTTAACTTACACAAATACACATAAAAAGCAATCTAAACAATAACCAAACAAAAAACCAAACAAAACCAAACCTACAAACAAAAAAATATATAAAAAATATATATATATATAAAAATTAATATCAAAATTTTTTAAAATTATTTAAATGAAAAACAAAAGAAGAAACAAATTAGTGAACTGTATTTTATTTATATAGCATACAAGTATAATTCTTTTGTCATTTTATTGCCAAAAGATACAGATTTTTCCACGAAACTTATCGATTGTAATGGCTCCAATAATTGGCTTTTTTATATATACCAAAAAAAAAATACTAAAACAAAGAAATGAACAAAAAATCAAGAAAATAATAATTATTGAACGCATTTGTTTCCAGAATTGAACAAATTTTCAATTTTAAATATCAACTATAAAAACCGAAAATGAAAAAAAAGAAAACACACATATTTTGTTGTTGTTCTAAAGGCAAACACAAAACGAAGCAAAAACCAAAAAAAAAAATGAAACAAAAATTTGAAAACTAATTAAAAAACAAAACCGTATGCAACTATTTACAATATGCTTTTGTAATAATTTTCGCACCTAAAAAAAATAAAAACAAAAGTAAGAAAAAAGTCAAAAGCTAGACGAAAGGAAGTAAACGAATTATATCAATTTATGTAGGCAAGATATTCACTGACAAATCTCTTTGACGATAAAATGATAAAACAATTATGACGTGTATATATACTATACTCCAAATAGGTACCTATTCTAACTTTATCTTTATATATATATACATATATATAAATATTTATATATACATATATATATATATATGATTATATAAACACTTTCTCTGTCTATCTCTCTATCTCTCTTTGTCTCGCTCTCTCTCTATATATATATGTTATATATATATAAATATATATGATTAATTATATATAACATTTACTCAAGTTTGTTGTTTTTATTGCGTTACTTTGCTTATCAAACAACAAGAACAACAAAGACGTCTAACCGCTGTCAAAACAACACTTCTAACCCCCCCTCAAAATACCCCTAAGAAATAATATATATTTTATTCTATTTTGTTTTTATTTTGATTTTTGTGTAAATATGCAATACAAATTGTACAACAAATTGTTATTTTAAACAGACCACAAAACACACACACACAGAGAAACACTTACACACACTCGTTGGGTTCTCGCACACTCACACAAGCTACAGAAGTTTCTGCATTTCATTTTGAAACTCAGTCGCAAAGTCTCTTAAAACAACAAATAATTCTCTTACTCTCTCACACTCTTTCTGTCTCTCTCTCTCTCTAAATATTTCTCTGTCTCTCTCTCTCTCTCTCTCTCTCTCTCTGTCTTTGTCACACTCACTCTGTCTGTCAAACAAACAACTCAACTTACTCAAATATATACGATATATATACCTCTATATATATATCTATATAAATATACATATATATCTTGTTTTCTTCACACAACAATATACATATAAACATACATATACATATATATATTTATCTAAATATATATATACTACATACATACAGAAACAATTGTTTACAATATACTTTTGCACGTTATTTCTATAATGCATCTGAACTATATATTGTTATAAGTAATTTATGTTTCTTTCCTACGTACAAGAATAAACCAACATAAAAAAGCATATATATATATATATATATATATATATATATATATATATATATATATATATATAAATATCTGTGTATATATATATACAACAACAAATAAAAATGAATACCAAAAAAAAAAAAACGAAAAACGAAATCAGAATCCAAGCGCATTTGTCTGCCACGTCAAACATGTCGTATACGCAATATTCATACAAAACTAAACCCCAACAACAAATTGAATCAACAGCAGCCACACACAGAGACACTCGCACACGCCCACCAAAAGGGACGTAATGCACGTGGCAAGCGTGTGACACACACATACAAATACTATACACACACATACACCTACAGCAATACCAGCTGCCAGGCTGTCTCGCTCTCTATCTCTCTCTCTCTCTTTCTATACCCTGCTCTCTCTCTCTCTCTCTCCATCTCTCACACACACAAAATATGACACACATTTCATATTGCCCCGCCACGCCCCCCTTTCAATACGCCCCCCTTAAACATACACATACACACACTCTATTTATACAACCAAAAAAAAAAACCTTGTTGAACTTTTAGGTGCAGTTCGCCAAAAAAAAATACCAAAATTAACTATTTGCAAATACCAACAGAAATCTTTTAAAAACATAAGTCAAGCTCAATTAAGCTTCAAGAGAGTTCATTTAGAAAATATACTGAAAATATACTTTTTTAAATACTGAAACCAAATTAATGCTATTACAAAACCTTATTGTAAATTAAGCGCAAAAAGTGTTGAATTAAGTAAACTTGTAGAAAAACAACAAAAATTCAGAGCAAAATACAAATTATACATATATATATGTATATATCACTTTCAATATATATATACATACATATATGAGTATCAATATCTATATATACATGGGGCCAAAATAGTCCGTAAGTGTTCGGGCAAAAATCGCTTTGGTTGCAAAGATGTTTGACAACAAAAATGTACAAAATGAATTGTTACTATCTATTTATAATACATATTTTAAATATTATTCTAGATATATATGACTATATAAACAGAATAAAACAAGTGCCTAATTTGTAGAGAACTTATGAGAAAAACACGCCTTAACTATAATAAATATACCAACAAATTTTCAAAACTATAACATATAATAATCGAGTAAACAAATACAAAAAAAAACAAAAATACCAAGCATTTATATACTACACGAATACTATAACTTAACTATAAATATTACTGCGAAGTATTTGATAAAAAATACCTACAGCGAAATACATCACAAATACTATACTCATATTTAAATAATAGTAAAAAAAAAAAAAAAAAATACATAAAGTAATACATACAATAATAAAAATACTTTTGATAAAATACCAAAAAAATTTAACTAAAATAAATAAAAAACTAAATTTAACTAAATAATTAATACATAATAATATAAAAAATACTAAACAGATTTTTATAAAATAATTATACTATAAACAATATAAAATTATAATGATAATATAAAACAAATATATTTTAAGATAAATAACAAATAACAAATAAATTAAAATCATAATATTAAAAAATAATAATATAAAAATATACCAAACTATTAACACTAAAATAAAACAACGATCAACAACCAAAAACAAACACAAAACGTTACAGTTACAGTTAGAATATAAAACCAAGCACAACAAACAACAACAAACAAACAAATAACCAACAACTCTAAACAACAAACCAAAAACATCAACAACAACAACAAAAAATCTCGCAATCGCCCATTTCAGATGTACAATAACTACTCGGGCATCAGCGGAAGCAGCCCCCCATTACCAGATATCATTGGACAATATTACGGAAATTTAGGTCCCGGCTCTGGTTATTTACCGACAGCATCGACATTGAACGGTCACCTGGGCTACAGCAATGCTGGCTATGATCTGTATGGTCCATCGAGCTCAACCGGCTACCTATATGATCCAGCTGGAGCAGCAGCCGCTGCAGCCGCTGCCGCCGCAGCAGCCCAGTTCTATGGACAACAAACGTCGCCAATACGTCGACGCCGCTACAGCATTGCCGGTCTGCCATCGGCGACAATGTATAACGATATTTACGGGTATCCGGCGCCGCCGTTGCAACAGACCAGCTCATCGAACATTGTCAATTTGCTGAACGAGGCACATAAATCGATATCGCGCTCATCACAAATCTTAAATCTGAGCCATCAGGCCAGGCAGCTGGGCCAATTGACGTTGGTGACCACACCGCTGTCCGGTCGTGTGGTCTCTAGCTATCCAACGCTGCATCCGGGCGACACAACGTCGCCGACATCATATTTAAACGATAACCTGCTGCAAATGTCGACGAGCTTCTCATCCCAACCGAACATGTACTTCCAGCCGCAAACGCAGCCGACGCAGCTGACGGCAGCGCAAAGCGCCGCTGCGGCAGCTGCGCGCTTACGTCCGGCCTATTCCGTATCGAATCTTATGGCTGGCTACCCAACAGCAGCCAGCTGCAAGTACGGCACAACAGGCTATGCGAATCCCTATCAGAGTGATTTGGGCGGCTATGGCATGGGCTTGGGCCTGGGCCTGGGCTCCAATTTGGGCCTAGGCATGGGCCTGGGCCTGCAGCCATCGTCGTCATCGTCGGCGGCACTTGCGCAGCAGCGTCTCATGTCACACTCACTGCATGCCTCAAATCCCGCCATATCGCAGTATTATCAGCAACAGCAGCATTCGATGCCACCGCCGGTCAGCTCGTCGCTATCTTACAATTTGCAACAGCAATTCGCGGGCACGCAGCAACAACAACAAGCACAACAACAATCGCAACAACCACAATCACACATACAGGCCTCGGTGCAACAGCAGATGAATCCGCAGTATCAATATCATGTGCATTCGCACCAAAATCATCTGCAAACCCATCCGCTGGCAGCGTTGGCAAATACGAGCGGCCCATTTGGCGGTACGCTAGCGAGCAGTGCTCGAGATGTCCTTGGCGCTGGCTACGATACGCTGCAGCATCCGCATTCGCATTCGCATCTACATTCACTACAACAACAACAACAACAGCATCATGTACCGATCGGACTGCATGCATCGTCATATCCGCACACGCACCACCACCACAACCACAACCATCATAACCACCATCACCACCAAAGCCATCAACAGCAGCTGCATCAGCAACAACAGCAACAACATCATCATCATCTACATCATTTGCCATACTCGAAACTAGACTTAGATTATCCGAAACTGCCGCAAGAGCATAAGCGACAAGTAAGTTTTAAATTTGACGTAGACACGCTATCCCTAGATTCCTAGATACTTAACGATAACTATCGATACTAATTGATACTATCAACTCGTTAATACTCGTTACAACAGCCACATTCAAAAAACTATCGTATACATGCCCATCAAAAAATGAATTCAAGAAAAAACGTAATCTGAAGAAAAAATTGATCTGAACTCTATATACATATACATGTATATGTATATATATACATACATGTGTATATATACAAATCAAATTTATATACTAAATGATGCATTTTACGCTTTTCCCCCAACGCTCCCCCCTATTAACAAAAAAAAAGCCCCCGACATTTGCAGTCTACGGTTCTCGAAGCGTTTAGAACTAAAACCAAAAATACCAAAAATTAAAAACACCAAGTATTACACATACAATATACATATATATAATATATATACCACATAGATATATATATAAATATATATATGACCTAAGTATTAGTTATAGCCTAAACAAAAGTTCATCAGAGCAAGAAGAAGCAGCGACAGCAGCAGAACTTTTGTTTCATGTGCCATTTTAAAGTAGCGAATAAAAGATTTAGAATAATACAAAAAAAAAAATACCTAAACAAAAAATGAAGAGCTGTAAAATTTTTAATTAAACATTTTTGAAATTAGCTTAACTCTATTCGATTATTTTTTTTTTTTTTTAGCAAATGAACTTAAAGTTGAAAAAGCTACAAAAATATATATATATTTATTTAATTATATTTTCGTTAAATAAAAAAAAAATTACATGCAAATTTATACAGCTATAAAATTAAAATTTAAATAATTTTTTATTATTTATATTTTTTATATTTTTGAAGCTTAATCAGTATTTTATTTTCAATTATGTTTGAAGCCATAAACTTTCATTATTATTATTTACATAAAAAACTTGTAATTAAAAAAAAAAATAAATGTTTATATTGTAAAAACTGTAAACCCTTTTCAATTTAGCTTCTTGGTATATATTTTAGTTAGACTTTTATTAAGTTATGCATAGAGCACTCAGGGCAAGTTTTCAGTAAAGAAAATTGTTAAAGAAAACAAAAAAAAAGCAAGCGAAGTTTATATTTATAAATAAAAAATAAATAAAAAACAATTTGTTTGAAATTTGAACCACTTTGCTCTTGACTCTCAAAAGTAAAAGACTGTAAATAAACAAGAACAACAAAAAGAAAGTGAAACTAATGATATTTACTCATGAAAAAAAGCAGATAAAAACACAATTGTAAAACCATTTATACAATATATATATATGAGATATAAAGAAAATATATATAGATATAAATGAATATTAAAAGAGAAGATTTACTTTACTTTATTTGGTATACTCCCTGATAAGAAAAATAAAGCCTAGAAATAATGAAGCTTAAAAAGTAATCATGAAAAGTAATGAAAGAAAAATACCTATATAGTACTCAAACCTAGTCTTAGAAAAAAAAAACGCTCTCGCTCTTTGGGGCATAGCATAAAAAAGAAAATTACCTAAATACATGTATAACTGAAGTTTGTACGTGTACATGTATGAGTGAACTTTGCATAGTAAACAGAGTAAGAGCAACTTCTCTTCCAGCCCAGACCCCTTCCAGTTTTAGCCAACCCAAGCAAGCCCTGTATGCAAGGACCTCTATAATCAACCTACTAACTACCTAACAACTAGCAAATTACCTAAACTAAATCAACCGATTTGCATAATAGATTGTGTCTCTCAATTACTTTAAAAGCCCAATCTTGTTTTGGTTACGATTTAGTTCATGAACTATATACCTATATACATATACCTATATACCTATACTCCAATATATATACCAGTACTCGTATTACCCATTAAGGTACTAGCGTGTGTGATTAGAAATGAAGGTCAATTATATGTAAAGATGAAATTTATATGCAAATCCAAGCGAAATGGATTGTACATGAATCGAATGTTGAATGAATTATGATATATGTGTATATAGCATATATATATATAGAACAAATGGAAATGTCTTGGTAAACTGGGTATATATTATTAACATCTGGCAATGTGTTTAACACAGCATTTGGTTGCAATTTAAAACAAAAAACGATTTGAATCGAAATGAAACGAAACGAAGAAGCATTCAAAATGTGTCTATGCAAATATTATATACAAACAAAAAATGAAAAACAAAAAAACAAAAGAAATTCTTATATACATCTATAAACTACACTTGAACTAAAAACCTTCTTATATACATCTATATACTATATATATATACATGTATCTAGGTGCTTTTTTATTATATAAAAACAAATTGATTCGTCTTCAAAAATCGTATTATGGTAGTTCGCGAAAAACAAATATGGAAAATCTAAAATGGAAAATGGAAAAATACCAAAAAATGGTTCGGCTTGCAAAATTGAAACTTTTTCGACTTTTTTCGAATAGAATTTTTTCTTAAAGAAAGTAAAACCCAAAATGTTTGTTACAGCCTATATAGTAGTCTAATCAAAACTAAAATTAACTGGAGTTACTCTAATTTTTGTCTTATATATGGTATATATATACATCTAGTAGTTGTGCACGCTCATCCCAAAATCGGAACTAGTTCATTGGTGAGCGTGTATGTGTATTTGCGTATGAAATACGTTATGAGCAATAAAAACTTGCGTTGTGTTCAGTAGATAAACTTTCAAAATTAATCAAATTCAAAATCGAAAACTAAATTTCATTTACAACGTATAAAACTCTGAAATTCTTTGATTTTTACCTTTAGTCCTTGCCCTACGAAAAGTGTGTAATCGCGCTATCTCTATCTCTCTCAATCTCTCTAACTCTAGATATAAGAAACGATAATAAGTATATATTAAGTATAATAAGCTTAACACTAGCCAATTGAAAGCATTTATGACAGCAGTTGCTGTCTCTATGTAATGGACATAAATAACATAAGACAAACATTAATATACATACGTAGTTAACTATGCTACAGATAATAAACTATATAACTAACAATAGATAGTCTTTCCTATTTTTCTGTTATCTCTTTATTCGTTTTGGAATACTCCTTGATTTTTGGTCAGATTCTTTTGTGAGTACATCAATAAGCAGGCATTTACTTATAATATAATTCTTATATTATATTATATTCATAGTTCTTGAAATATTTATACTTATATATATACAATAACAACAAGAAATATACTTATTATTAATTAAATTACTACTCCGATATACTATATATTATACATATATATATATATATTTATACACTGATTTGTAACTTAATTAAGATTACTTCAGATGAAAAACTAATTCTTGAGCCCGAACTCTGAAACTCGATTTATGTTAAACTTAAAAAACAAGAAAACAAAAACAAAACCAAAATAAAACTAACTCTTAAGCATTATAAATGAAACATTTTCGAAAGCAAACAATAAAAATTTAACATGCGACAAAAACCAAAATGGATAAGCTATGCCTATCGTCTATAGCTATAGCACAGGTTAACAGTATTCAAATCCAACACCCAACAAGCCACGCCCCCAATCCGTCTCTCTCTCTCTCTACCCACTTTTATAACAAGCTACACACACACACACACTGAAACACTCTTACACAGTTTTGACCCTCAGCTTTACAGTGGGTCAACGACTTTTGCAGCCTTCATCATTCTATTCATCCTCTCACATTTGTACCACGCCCTCCTCTACACCTACAATCCGTCCACCTCTATCGCTCATATCTCTCTATATATAAACTACAATTCACACATTGCGCCGCAATTTGCACTCAACGTAAACATTTTGACACAAAAAAGTAATACTAAAAAGAAAATACTCTAAAATACTTAAAAAAAAAATAAAAATAAAGTAAAAACACAGAAAAAATCCCTCCAATTTGTAGTCAAGGCAGCTGCATTTGCTTTGCAGTTGTGTTTAATGCATTTGTTTTTTAAAAATCTGCTATGTCTTGTATCTTATCCTCCTTCCACCCATATTCCATTCACGAATCCACACCGACTAACAGTTGGACGAATTCCGTCTTGAAATACAAAGAAGGGATCAAGAGATACTGGCGATGGCGGCCAAAATGAAAACGCTCGAGGAGCAGCATCAGGTAATTTGATTAGATCACAACTTTACGCAATATCTAAATTCACAATGAACAAACCTGAAATTAGGACTATCAGCGGCACATAGCGGTACTTAAGGAATCGCTATGTGCCAAAGAGGAGCACTACAACATGCTGCAGACGGACGTGGAGGAGTTGCGGGCCCGACTGGAGGAGAAGAATCGTTTGATCGAGAAGAAGACCCAGGGTACATTGCAAACGGTTCAGGAGCGAAATCGTCTAACCAGCGAACTCACCGAGCTCAAGGATCACATGGACATCAAGGATCGCAAGATCAGTGTGCTGCAGCGCAAGGTCAGAGAAGATAGAGCAGCAGCAATCAATAACATTAGCTAACACAAACACTTCCACACAGATCGAGAACCTGGAGGACCTGCTGAAGGAGAAGGACAACCAGGTGGATATGGCGCGAGCACGTCTCTCGGCCATGCAAGCGCACCACAGCAGCTCGGAGGGCGCCTTGACCAGCCTGGAGGAGGCCATCGGCGACAAGGAGAAGCAAATGGCGCAGCTGCGCGAGCAACGCGATCGGGCCGAGCACGAAAAGCAAGAGGAACGAGATCTGCACGAACGCGAAGTCGCCGAATACAAAATGAAGCTGCGCGCGGCCGAAAGCGATCTGGAGAAGTTGCAGACACGGCTCGAACGGGCCGTCAATGAGCGAGAGCGTCTGGAGATCAAGCTGGAAGCGTCACAGAGTGAGCTGGGCAAATCGAAAGCGGAGCTGGAGAAGGCCACGTGTGAGATGGGTCGCAGCAGTGCCGATTGGGAGTCGACGAAGCAGCGCATAGCCCGCCTCGAGCTGGAGAATGAGCGACTCAAACACGATCTGGAACGTTCGCAGGTACTCGTGCATTATCACCAGTTTATCGGAAAGTTATCGAACTTGCATTCTATCATTTATCACAAAATATATATACATAAAAATAGAGATACATATATATCATATACCTATGTGCCCATTATGTTCCTCTGTGTGCAGTGTACATATATAATTTGAAAAAAACCAAAAGAGACAACCGTTAACCGTTATTCAAATATTTAACTATCGATTACAATAACGATAACTTACTCAATATTCTTAATATTATTACATATTACTATAAAAATATGCCTCTATGTGTGCCTATATATTTACATGTACACTTAACAACAACAACAACAACTATGTACTACAACAACAACAACATCTCGCATCCCTACAACAACAACTTATAATATATATATCTATAAATCGTTAATCGATAATACATTAACCAACAAATAGCTGCAGCTAGAAGAACAGACCACACTACACAAAGTAAGCCCAATGCTAAAACCTACCTATACCAACCCATCGAAAACTATGTAGTTCTACTAGTTATATTTTAAGTTTCGTAGTGCCCTCACATGTTACTAAGCATAAATGCCCTGTAGTAAACACCTGTACACCCTGTATGCGCGGTATTTTTATTTTGCATCTAGATCCAGCAGTTTGTGATTTTCGTTTTTTACCTAAAATCTTAGCTTTAAGATTAAAGACAATCAAATCGTAATACCCACAGAAAGTCAATATATGAAATATATATTTTATATTATGAAATTTATATCAAAAGTTATATTTGGAGCCACTAGCTATTGTTCCAGTAGAGTTATATGGATATAGTATTATTTATAGCCACATATGTTGAGTTTATAAGATCATTACCAACTGATGAGCCATTAATACATCCGTACATCTGATATAGTAAGCCAATATAGCATATAGAAAATATACTTTATAGAGAAGAGTTTTAAGAAATAATATCATTAGGACACAACTTTTCTTGAGCTGGAAGCGGAAAAATATCTCTATTTATAAAACTGAAGAGCTGAGAAATTACTTCTATGAAACATACTTTTGCTCTAGAAATATCTTAGATTCATGTGAACTATATATGTATATGTTCAGCTAGTCAACCTTCATAGTCGTCCTCAAAATATTTCATGTTAATATTATAATAGCAATCTAAAATACAACTTCAAGTTTCTATTCAACTCATTAGGCTCATTAGCCATTAAAATATGTATGCAGCTCATTGAGCTACGCAGCTGCGAAATTGTCGAGCCATTCATTAATATTGAAAATTTAATAATAGTTTGTTTATTGTTTACGTTAACTTTGGCTAACTGAAAACTTATTCAAGCGATGCCTATTTGCATATGAAATGAGTCGAGCTGCCACGTTACTATTCAAAGCACGCGCACTCACAGCTAGAAAGCCGCACCTCTCTTTAGTCTGGTCATAGCACGAAGCACAAATAACTTCTCACACACACACACGCCTTAGTTAGTTACAAGGATTACAAATTGTATGTACATAATTCAAGCGGCTACAATTACAATTATCATCGCCTTTCAATTAAGTATGCCTCATGCAATGTCTAATAATTGTCGCTGAACATGCATATATATATATATATATATATCGTATATTGTACTTTACAGAATGTACAAAAGTTAATGTTCGAATCGGGCAAAATATCGGTAAGTTGGCAACAGAGCCAGCCACTAAATAGAGATAGCTCACGGTGTTATCAAAGCTAATTGCTCGATATGAATTATACGCAACGTAGTCACGTCTTAACCTCTTAAAGCGCTTCGTTAGGCAAGACAATGCAGGCTCATTTATGTTACTTTCCAACACTGAAATATGCACAACTTTGAAGTGCAGTGTTGCGTAGTGAAATGTAATTATAAACATAGATTTTAGTAATTAGAAAATGTAGCCAAGTCCTTGAATTATAAGAACTCAATTTGTGGGAGCTTAGAGCAAGGCTGCAAAACGGAATTTTTTATCAAAATTTCAATATACATACTTTCTTATAGAGTGGATTAGTATTCGGAGACTTTAGGAGCTTGCAGCCCTGATCTATACACACGTTATGTATATATATGAATTATAAAGCAAATACTCTGGTGTTCACAAAAAACAAGTGTTGAAAGCGTTAAATGCACCCATACAAAATATTACCCAACCAAGCTTGATGCAAAATCCCCAAAATCAAAACTCATGCTCATTTCAGCACACTTATATTGAAGTTGTTGGGATGTATTGATGTATATATTATATACAATAATTTATATATTGTATATATTATTATCTATTATCTATGATATACCCGTACAACTTCAATATAAACTAACTTTACACACATTAAGTATACGCATCGTATGCCTTATAAATTGCTTTGCTGCTGGACAATGTTTTGCGAATGCCTTAAGTTTTTTGTTTATGCTAACTTTTACTGTAGTTGGTTGCACCGTTTTTTATTTTTTGTTCTCAGTAAATGTATTCATGTATTAACACATATATAGATAGCTCTCTCATAACTATATACTAATTATCTTGTTTCGCTTCTCGCCACTGAAGACCACATTTGGCCGCACCACAATGACCACATCTCAGGAGCTGGACCGGGCGCAGGAGCGTGCTGACAAAGCAGCCGCCGAACTGCGACGCACGCAGGCGGAGCTGCGTGTGACACAGGTAAAGTTCAATGTTCATATAATTCACAAGCGCTGCATACATACTACTACTACTACTACTACTATATACTACTATATATGTATGTATAAACATATTCGTATCTATAACTATGCATACGAGCTCTGTTAGCTAGTTGTCTGTGCGTCATGAATTTTCTCGCAACAAAACTCTAAGCTAAAATACTATATTTCATGTCTATGTGTGCGTGTGCTACAACAACAACAACAACAATTACAATTCGTGTTAACTCTATGATTCATGAATGAATACTTTCTGCTATATTATCGTACACACTCTCTATATACTTCCAACACATGCTGAACTATTCACACATTCAGCTGTCATTCAACTGCAAGAGCAACAATTATACTATATAAATACACACACACACATACATATGTACACACACGCACAACCACACACATATATAAACACAGACGAACATAAACTTTGCACCTAAAAGTCAAGAAAGATTGGATCGTGTGTCTACAAAATTCAGCGGATATATTTTTTAAAAAATCTTGACAGGACAGAAATTTCATTTTCTTGAATCAAAAAATATTGAAAATTAATATAACAAATTTTTGAATTGAATAATATTTAAAACTCATAAATATATTGAAAATCTAAATATAAAAATTAATAAAAAGATTTGTTTCCAGTTCTGTATATACGAAAATTCATAAAAAAGTTTGCTACATTTTTGAACTGTTGAATATTGCTTAAAAGTCTTAACAAATCCCCAAAAAAAACCTAGCTTTAACGTAAAAGTAACGAAAACCAATAATAGATGAATTTAGCATAATATCTATAAATATTTGTTTTTTGAGTTAATCTAAATGCTATTGTTTAATGTAATACTAAAACCCAAACTCTATCTAAACCGTTGTGCTTACATTCATTTTCTATATAGGGCGAAACTGAAAAACGTTTTGTGAGTAAAATGCTTATAAACCAACAAACAAAAAATACCACCAAAAGATAGTCGTACAAGTTTTATGTAGTAATAGTAACTAAAGCATTTGATGTGCAAGAAATATGTGAAAAATATGAAAACAAAGTAGTCCAACAACATTGCATATGTATATCAAATGTTTTACTTAGTATTACTACTTTAAAAAATACTAAACAAATACTAAACATAACTTGCATTGCCTCACATACTAACTAACTAACCAGCCTACATACTATTAAATACTACATGCTTAACACATTTATCTATGTACATATATATACTATATGAAAGACATTCGTTCAAACTTCGACCCATGTATATTCGCCTTGATCAATCCATCTCTCATCAATTGGATTTTTGTGTGCCTTGAGTGCGTCTCCTGCATGAGTTGTGCATAATTGTTGTCTAGACTCCAACTGAACATCATATGTGATCATTCGTCTACCATGCATAACCCAATCAATTTATAGTGAGCATCAGCCTAGTAGAGCAGAGGCTAAATAGATCTAGGTTATGGTATATATAAATGCATATTGATTGAAGACTTTGCATATTGACGTAACGAGAACAGATTAATTCTTAGTGGAAAAGAAGCAATATATACGCTGACAGCCCATTTTTGATTAGTATATAAGTGTATATCGTAAGCAAGTTGTAAATATAGTTTATACTCTCTTCTTATTGGACAACCGAAAATCGTTAAGGAGACTTCTTTCTAAAGAAGCTGGCATCGTTCAAGATTTATATGAAAAAGCCTACATCGAATATATTATTTATATAAGAAACATTAAGAAACTTGTTTCTAGTTAGGGAACTGAATATCGTAAACGAAGTTTCCCCTCGTCTTAAACTAGCTTACACATCTACAAACACATATTTTATATAAAAGCCTAGCATATTTTTGAGAAAAGCCTATCGTATATATATATATATACTATATCATTGCTGAATATCGTAAAATTTTTAGACATTCTCGACCACAAGTTTAAAGCAGATTAAAGTGTTTGTAAGCTACCCTTTTACAGCCTAGCCATTAGTTAATTCAACTAATATAATTGCACCCCATACACATATGTAACATTAAAAGGATTTAGCTGCAGTGGCAGACCTTTTTCCTAGCACTTTTCACTCAAATCTCTCGTGCACAAAAGACAATCTCAAGTACAAAAGTAGCAGCAAGTACATCACGCATAACCCAAGAGTATTAAGCTAGGTAGCTATTACATAAACAAAGCCACATACACAATAAAAACACACACACTCACTCACTCGCCCACGTTAACAAAAGCTCAAGCAAGATGTGAGTGAAGACATTTTGCAACGTGACTTTGGCAGTTGTTTTCTGAAGTGAAGAGCTGCTGGGAAAGTTGTAAAAAGTTGCGCTTGATTTAGCTAAGCTGTTAATTACGCACACACATTCACTCACACAGACACACACACACACTCGCGCACACACTCGCACACACTTGGCTGTACACTTAAAAGTCTTAAACTTACTTTTGCCTTAATGCTCATAGCTTTAAACTCTTCAAGCACACACGTTCTCACATCTGTTTTGCACTCGAGCGCCATCTATTGCTGTTCCTTTGCAGCCTCATTGCCTGCTCTATCTCTCCTTCGCTCTCTTTCTCTCTCTCTTTGCCATTTGTCATTCACTGTTGTCGAAATTCGCTTGTGTGCTCAGCCTCGCAGCATCAAAATCGCTCGCTCTAGACTTTGTTATCGTATTCGTAATCGTATTCGTAATCGTATTCGTAATCGTATTCGTATTCGTTATCGTAATGTTAAGTACTACTTGTTGTTTAACCTATGTTTCGTGTCTGACAAAACCAGACAACCAATCAATCAACCAGTCAATCAATACAGTCAGACAGTCAATCAGTCAGTCAGTCAGTCAGACAGTCAGTCAGTCAGACAGTCATTCATTTAAGAACCATCCTTTCACATGGTGCCTGTAAATAATATCCGTATCCACATCCAATTTACCCCCCCGCCTTTGCCCACCGTTTACAATTAACCACCGATAACCGATAACAACAATGCCAACGACAACGTGCAGTCGGATGCGGAACGTGCACGCGAAGAAGCCGCCGCCCTGCAAGAGAAACTGGAAAAGAGCCAAGGTGAAGTTTATCGACTGAAAGCGAAGCTGGAGAACGCCCAGGGCGAACAGGAAAGTCTGCGCCAGGAACTGGAGAAGGCGCAGAGCGGTGTCTCCCGCATACACGCAGATCGCGATAGGGTAGGCAAAAGAAAAACAAAACCAATACCAAAGTTTTAGCTAGCTAAATACCCTGTACAACAATCACACACTCACACCCACACACATGAAACGCTCCTCCCCCCCTCCTCCTTAGGCATTCGCTGAGGTGGAGAAGATCAAGGAGGAAATGGAACGCACTCAGGCAACGTTAGGCAAGGCGCAGCTGCAGCACGAGAAGCTGCAAAATGCGCTGGACAAGGCACAGAATGAGGTCGATCACCTGCAGGATAAACTGGACAAGGCTGGCGCCGAGAACCGTCGTTTGGTCCTCGAGAAGGAGAAGCTGACCTACGACTATGATAATCTCCAATCCCAGCTGGACAAGGCGCTCGGACAGGCGGCGCGCATGCAAAAGGAGCGAGAGACTCTAACGCTGGATACGGATCGCATACGCGAAAAGTTGGAGAAGACGCAGGTATGCGATCGACACTATCAAGGGTGCCACCATACATACGCAAACACACACACACACGCACTCACACACACAGACAGAACACACATACGACAGCCAAAAGTCATGCAAGAAACGTAGAAATTGTTTAAGCTGTGCCTAAACGTTGTAACTGTAAATGTGTTGTGTGAGATACTTGAAACTCGAAATCGAATCTCTTAACATACTAAACATAATCCCTTACCCCCCTTCCTCATCAACTAATTGTACATAATTAACACTTGATATCCCTAAATATGTAAGTTATATGGGCATTGGAACTTTCAAAATATCTTTAAGACATATTTGACTTAGAGTTGAGAAATGTATAGAATGTCCTTCTGAAACCAAATGTTGGAACTTCTAACCAAACGTGATCGATCGTTGATTAATAAATAAATACAGAATAGGTCTATTATTACATTTTAATGAACTGAACTGAAGAAGATCCGTAGAAACTTTAAAATTATTAAATGAAATTCAATATACAATATTTGATATTTTGAAACATGTTCCTCATTTTAACTTTTTTTTTCAATAATAAGCAAGCTTCTTTTACAAAGAAAAGATTAGAGCTCTTGCCAAATGTTTGTTTTTCCTGCCTGCTAATGCCCATATACACATACCATCAAAGACATCTCATCAGCCATCTTTCATGTCCTGTATCATAAAAATAAATATATATAAATATCCCTATATGTACTGCCTACGCATATATACGTATATATCTATCTTTCAACTATCTATATGCTATGTGTATGTAACAAACACACAAACACCTTAAATACACTGAAAAAAAAACAAACAAACAACAGCAACAACTAGCGCGCATACAAAAGGAGAGGGATCAGTTCTCGGATGAACTGGAAACGCTCAAGGAGCGCTCGGAGTCCTCACAGACGCTGCTGATGAAGGCCGCCAGGGATCGTGAGGCGATGCAAACAGATCTTGAAGTGCTTAAAGAACGCTATGAGAAATCGCATGCTATACAACAGAAATTGCAGGTAATTTTTCACACAAAAAGAAAACTGTGAGAATGACAGAGAAGTATCAAAAATTCAGACAAATTGGCTCTATAAAAATATATATACTACCATATATATATATATATAGATATACATACACTAATCGTAACTAATCCAAAAACGCATGAGAACTGAGAAGTACGAGTGAATTGGCTGTTTGTAAATTTGTAGCTTCCTAAAAACACTGCTTGGCCCAGCTGAAAAAAAAAACTAAAAAATCAAACCAAACCAAACGAGATCCTTTAATGCAATCTGAATAATAATGCCTAACATAAATACCTCTCCTCTTGCAGATGGAGCGCGATGATGCCGTCACTGAGGTGGAAATACTTAAGGAGAAGCTGGACAAGGCCCTCTACGCCAGTCAGAAGCTCATCGATGAGAAGGACACGTCGAACAAGGAGTTCGAGAAGATGTTGGAGAAATATGATCGAGCTCAAAATGAAATTTATCGATTGCAATCGCGATGCGACACGGCTGAGGCGGATCGCGCTAGGCTCGAAGTGGAGGCGGAACGCTCGGGTCTGGCCGCTTCGAAAGCACGCGAGGATCTGCGTAAGCTACAGGACGAGAGCACACGCCTGCAGGAGGCATGCGATCGCGCCGCCCTGCAGCTCAGCCGCGCCAAGGAGAGCGAGGATAATGCACGCAGCGAACTGGAGCACCATCGAGATCGCTTCGACAAGATGCAAACGGACATCCGACGAGCTCAGGGCGAGAAGGAGCACCTCCAGTCAGAGCTGGAGCGCGTCACCTACGAGCTGGAGCGCGCCCACGCGGCACAGACCAAGGCGGCCGCCAGCGTGGAGGCGGCCAAGGAGGAGGCCGCCCACTATGCCGTCGAGCTGGAGAAGCTGCGTGAACGCTACGAGAAGAATCAAGTGGAGCTCAGGAAACTGCAGGATACGGACACCTTTGGCCGGGAGACGCGTCGCTTGAAGGAGGAGAACGAGCGGCTGCGCGAGAAGTTGGACAAGACGCTGATGGAATTGGAGACGATACGCGGCAAGTCGCAGTACGAATCCGAGTCCTTTGAAAAGTACAAGGACAAATACGAAAAGATCGAGAACGAGATACAGAACATGGAGTCGAAGCTGCACGAGACGAGTCTGCAACTGGAGCTATCGAAGGGAGAGGTGGCCAAACTGTTGGCCAATCAGGAGAAACAGCGCAGCGAACTAGAGCGTGCGCACATTGAGCGTGAGAAGGCGCGCGATAAGCACGAGAAACTGCTGAAGGAGGTCGATCGTTTGCGCCTGCAACAGTCCTCGGTGAGCCCCGGCGACCCGGTTCGTGCATCCGCCTCGTCGCTGTCCATGACGGCGGGCGAGCGACAGGAGATCGATCGGCTGCGTGATCGCCTCGAAAAGGCGCTGCAGTCGCGTGATGCCACTGAACTGGAGGCCGGTCGCTTGGCCAAGGAACTGGAGAAGGCACAAATGCATTTGGCCAAACAGCAGGAGAACACCGAATCGACGCGCATCGAATTCGAACGCATGGGCGCTGAGCTGGCTCGCCTGCACGACCGTCTCGAGAAAGCGGAGGCCGAAAAGGAAGCCTTAAGGCAGAGCAGTCGAGGCGCCCAGGCTGGGGCAGCCGCCAATCCGCAGCTCGAGAAGCATGTGCAGAAGCTGGAGAGCGATGTCAAGCAGCTGGCCATGGAGCGAGAGCAACTGGTGCTGCAGCTGGAGAAGAGTCAGGAGATTTTGATGAACTTCCAGAAGGAGCTGCAGAACGCCGAACAGGAATTGCAAAAGACACGCGAAGAGAATCGCAAGCTGCGCAACGGCCATCCCGTGGCTCCGGCCGCACCCGCCGAAATCCAGGCCATGCAGAAGGAGATCCAAACGCTGCAACAGAAGCTCCAAGAGTCGGAACGAGCGCTGGCCGCTGCAGGACCACAACAGCAGGCAGCGGCGGCGGCTGGCGGTGCGAGTCGCGAAGAGATCGAGCAATGGCGCAAGGTTATCGAGCAGGAGAAGAATCGCGCCGACATGGCTGACAAGGCTGCCCAGGAGATGCACAAGCGCATACAGGTGAGTGGAGCGGAGAGCAATGAAACTCCAATTCGAATCCCTCTCTTTCCCCCAATTAGTCTATCTAATCGAATTGATGCTATTGTAATCGAATCATCTAACACAGCTAGCTAATCATATTCCTCTATGTCTCTCTCTTTCTGTCTCTCGCCTTACGCTCAGTTAATGGACCAACACATCAAAGATCAGCATGCACAGATGCAAAAGATGCAGCAGCAGATGGCGCAGCAGCAGCAGCAAGCGGCGGCGGCGGCGCAAGCGGCAGCGCAGCAAACAGCTGCAGCTGCGGGCGGCGGCGTCGATGCGAAGGAGCTGGAAAAGGTCAAGAGCGAGCTGCAGGCGGCCTGCACAGAACGAGATCGATTCCAGCAACAGCTGGAGCTGCTGGTGCAAGAGCTGGAGAAGAGTCAAGTGAGTAAAGATCTATAAATCTGTCTTTATATGTATTAACTTGCCCGCCCTCTATCTCTCTCATTCTCTCTGCCACACAGATGTCCAATCAGGAACAGGCAAAGCAGCTGCAAGCGGCGCAGCAGCAAGTGCAACAACTGCAACAGCAAATACAAACGCTGCAACAACAAATGCAACAGCTGCAACAAGCGGGCACTGCCGGCGCCGCTGCCACCGATGTGCAGCGCCAGCAGCTAGAGCAGCAGCGATTGCAGCTGGAGGAGGTGCGCAAGCAGATCGACAACCAAGCCAAGGCGACCGAAAGCGAGCGAAAAATCATCGACGAGCAGCGCAAACAGATCGATGCGAAGCGCAAGGATATCGAGGAGAAGGAGAAGAAAATGGCCGAATTCGATGTGCAGCTACGCAAGCGCAAGGAGCAAATGGATCAGCTGGAAAAATCACTGCAAACGCAAGGCGGCGGCGCCGCAGCAGCCGGCGAGCTCAACAAAAAGCTTATGGATACGCAGCGACAGCTCGAAGCGTAAGTAAAAGTATTCTTAGGACTTACCTTGAATGGTTTACAGTTTATTTCGACACAAAAACGAGTACAAGCAATTCATTTTCAACTTTTTCACAAATATGGCGCATACGGCGCCATCTTTTTGACAGTGTGACCAAGTTATACTAGTGTTAAAAAACAGCAGTGACTCGCTAAGCCTAACAGCATACAATGAGCTTAACATAACAGCAGCTAGAGGCTTAACATTGCTAAGCCAGGATTAACAGCTCACAATGAGCTGACCATAACAGCAGCTTATTCATGTCCATTGCTTCAGCATTCCTTGTCTAGACTTAACAGCACTGAATACGTTTCATTTGCTTAACATAACAAAATTAGTTTAGCATTTAATTTACTCTCCAGTCGTATACTTCATATTGTTATTAATGTCTTAATGTATTATCAATATACTACAATTCTTGTCATAATCATCCTATATTTCTCATTACAGCTGCGTCAAGGAACTGCAAAACACAAAAGAGGAGCACAAGAAGGCGGCAACCGAAACGGAGCGACTGCTGCAATTGGTACAAATGTCACAGGAGGAGCAAAACGCCAAAGAGAAGACAATTATGGATTTGCAACAGTAAGTATAAATTGAAAAGAGCATAATAAAAGAAAAACTCGTCTAATCACACTTTTTTACATACGTAGAGCCTTAAAGATCGCTCAAGCCAAAGTCAAACAAGCACAAACACAACAACAGCAGCAGCAGGATGTAAGTAAAACATGTTAACAAACATCGCCCAACACTATTAACATTTACTTCTCCCCCCTCTCTCGCTCTCTGTCTTGCAGGCTGGGCCCGCTGGCTTTTTGAAGAGCTTTTTCTAAGCCACAGTATATGCGTATAAGTACTTGTATAAGTACAAGCCTAACATAACAAATAACAGCACTGTCTACTATTTTGTATACTACCGATTACCGTTACCGACTATGCAGTATTTCTTCTACTAATACACACACACACACACATTTGTAAATGACATATGTAAATGCAAGAAAATTATTTGATATTTTATTATATTGTAATTAGGTTGCCGCTATACTCAAATTATGAATGCATTTATGTAAATGTCTCTCTCTCTATCTCTCTCTCTGTATCTATCTTGAAACTTGAACTCAAAACTTTCAACTTAAACTTAAAACTCACTTCACTTCGCCCTCTCCCTCTCTCTCTCTCTCTCACACACACACACGTTCTCTCGCTACCTAGTTAACTGTTGAAGTTTGAATCTTTCGTCTTATACGCTGTAAAGTAGGCAATACTTACCCGAAATTGTACTCGAACTGAGCTTACACGACGCCTGAGATACCCTGTAAATGGAAGAAAATGTTTTTATTAGATTTCTGCGTCAACTCAAAATTGAGTTCATTTATCTCTTCCCCTTTAACTACGCACTATTCGTTATTTTTCTATTGCATACGGCGCGAATGTGATTCACAACAAAAATATGAGAAAAAATACTAAAAGCAAAACAAATTAACAAATAATAATTATTAAATATACAAATTAATATACATATATATATACTACGTATAAATTGTTAGGCGACGTATCGGAATAAAATATATAAAAATATTTAGATATATATAAATATACATATATATCAGACACTGTATATACAGCATCTATCGATATGACAAAGCATACAAAACTAAAGAGTAGAGCAATAAATTTATATAATCCCTATATATATATATATATATTATATATATCGAATATCGTATATATGCGTAGCCTTTAGCCGTGTACCAAAGAAATATACCAAAAGAAACATATATGCCTAGAAAAAAAACAAATTCAAACTCAATAAAACATACGAAAAATTAATACAACAAAAATTTCGATAAATCGGAGCTCTATATATATTTTAAATTAGTTCAAATATACATCTATGGCATCTAACTCATACAAGAATATCCCGAATGCAAAACCAGCAGCTAGTTCAATTTTCAGCGGAGTAGCCCTAATGTTTACTTTTGATTTAAGAAGACATTAGATAAATGCAAAATGCTGTTATTGTTATCGGTATTTATATATAGATATATGCATATATATAAAATATATCGTTAATAAATATACAATAATTTGCTTTGTTTCTACTAAAGTTTATTTAAAGCCAAGATTAAGAATTTTTAACACTGCCAATTTTTCGATTAATCTTAATTTAAATGTGCGAAAAATCGATCAAAAAATTCCTTATAAATTTTAAATGAAAAACATCAAAGAAACCCCATATTAGCAGTATTTTTGTAATCTGAGTTTTTATTGCTACACAAAAACATTAAATTATTTGCTGTTTATCGATAGGCGGGAATATCCTTGTTGTCCATACAACAGTGCCCATGACATTCAGTATACAGTACCGAGCAAAAATGAGTGAATGTTTCACAACTTTGACTTTCATCA